CTGATGCGGTTGAACCCCTGCCAAAGAGATCCAGAACAGATTCCCCGGAGTAAATCTCTCACATGGCTGCATCTTTTGGTTGGAAGTTTCACAGGCTGGAGTTTGATGCAGCTCTATATAGCATGTTGCTGCAGTTTTGTATCTTCAATGAGCTCCACGCCTCTTGGGCATTTGTCTCTCATGTTCACCTGCCATTTTGGCTTTGTGTCACATTAGCATTTTGCTGCCTAGCCGGCTCCTTCGAAATCTGTGCCATTTTGGCTTTGAATCTATGCCTCTCTCCGCCATTTACCTAGCTGGTGATTTCGATCTTTCAGGTTGCTGCAGTCGATGAGTTTACACCCATGTCCTGTCTCCCCTGACAGATGACCCTTTTCATGCCCTCCGCAACCCGGAGTGTACCTCCCCCCCTGCTTCAAAAAAAAAAGTGGGGCCAAGAGGCACAAAGCCCATCCAGCAAGAAGCCCCAAAAAAAAAAAGAGGGCCAAGAGGCTTAAAGCCCATACAGCAAGAAGCCCAAAAAAAAAAAAAACCTTTTGCGCTGCGCGGATGCTGCTTCGTCCCTGGCGAGCAGCTGTGCGGCTGACTGCTTGCGCCGATGCTGCTGATCTTGCGGCTGGGCAACTGGCATGGGCCGCTGCGCTGACTGCAGCTGAGCAGAGAGGCATGCTGCTGCCGTGAGAGGCCTACTGTTTCTGTACAGCCATTTCTTCATCACTCCATTTACCTCCTATCATTTCTCCTTGGTAGTCCCGTTCATCACTAACAACTATCTGTGATGGATTTTTGGACTTACCCGAAAACCCTAAGGGGTATGCCAGTCGAAGTCCCACTCAACGGCATGGACCAAAAAATGCCGGCATTGGGCCGCATGCAAATGCATGTGTCGGGCTCTGCCTACTGACACGAAAAGTCATGGGGTTGCAAAAAACACACACACTCACACACACACTCACACACTCACACACTCAACTTGGCCGATCCAAAACCCGACCCAATACCAAACAACGCGCCTCCTGGACTTGTTCATTGCAGCGTAAATTTGGGAGGGGACTGTTGTGAGCGGTCAAAACTTGAGATAAATTGTATTTTTTGGGAAATCTCCTGGTATTAAGGCGCACACATATTTCCATATAATATATTATATATATATGTTCCTGAATCATGTGTATTTTAATGATCCTTTACCTTCTGGCTCTGATGTATCTGCTGCATTGCATTCAATAAGGGCAACACAAATCACAAGGTGACTCTTGAACAAAAAATATGGCTTTGCATGGGGATTGCATGGAACTAGATTACAAGAGCTTCTTAATAAACACCTGACTTTCTGGTTTGTTGGCAAGTTTTTGTACATAGTTGGGTGGAAAGTATGTGCTTAAAAGATCTTAAAAGTGCAATCTGTTCATATCTGGATTAATTTTTTTAAGGATTTGCAAAAAAATGACATTAGTCCTGAGCCGATTGCAGAATGGGAGGGATGTGGGAAGGCTGCGCTATCCGTACGAATCTGACGACACTTGCAATTAATTGCAATTAATTGCAAACATTCCTCTGATCCAATCCTGGATTGAAGATTGAAGATTCTCAGAAAAACTTCTTCAATCCAATCCTGGATTGAAGATGTGAAGCCAGACCTGGATTGAAGAAGTTTTTCTGAGAATCTTCAATCTTCAATCTTCAATCCAGACCTGGATTGAAGAAGTTTTTCTGAGAATCTTCAATCTTCAATCCAGACCTGGATTGAAGAAGTTCTTCTGAGAATCTTCAATCTTCAATCTTCAATCCGACACATTTTGCAATTAATTACACTTAATTGCAAATTCTTGGTACTTCGGAGGCAACCAAAAATGACAAGAAAAATAATGCCAGAAAAATATAGGGGAAAAATAGCAAAAAACACTGTAAATACCAGCAGAAATGTAAAAACGGTAGGTTTTGGGGGGGGGGTACCATATAAATATATGTGAATAAATATAAACATATTGATTTATATATTGTATATATAAATATATATTTAGTTGCATATACAAATAGATAGATATATATATATTTATTTATTTAAATATATTTGAAGAAAATACATATACAAATATAAGAATAGATACCAATATATGTATATATATATTTAAATATACATGCATCTATATAAATACTCAACATATATCTAAAATATAAGATTATATAAATACATAAGTATATAAACACATAAACAGATATACATATATATATATATATACAAATGTAAGTATACAACTAGATGAGTATATAAATATTTCAATTTATATAAATAGATATAAATAGATATGAATAGATATAAATTGATATGAACAGATATTAATAGATATATATAAATAGAAATAAATAGGAAAATATAGATATAAGCATACAAAAAGACAATATATAAATCTATAAATGTTTAGGTATATATATTTATATTTACATATATAATTAAGTATAAAAATATATTTAATCAAATATATGTTTATATATATATAACATGAACCAATAAAGCTATTTATTTATTGACATATGTAGATATAAATACATATATATACACATAATATACATAGTTTAAGTATATATATAAATATTTTGATATATATATATGTACATATTGAAAAATACAACTATATATAGATAAAAATATAAATACATATAAATAAATATATATATATTTTTAAAATACATATATATATATATATTTAAATATATTTGTAGATTTATTGAAATATATTTAAGTATGTTTCAAACTCTATATTTAAATATTGTAAATAACACACACACACATATATATTTTGATATATATATATATAGATATATATATATGACTACATGTAAACATATAAATATATAAATCTATGGCAATATATTTAAATCTGCAAATATAGAACTATCAAAATATATAATAGAAATAAATATGTACTAGAAATAAATATATAACGTAAATAAATATATAATATCAATAAGTATTTAATATCAATAAATATATAAATTTGAATAAATATGCAATATAGGTAAATACGCAACATGAATAAATATATAATAAAAACAAATATATAAAAACTGCAATATATATATATAAATATGAATCTATAGACATATATATCTATATATATATATATGAAAGATATATATATATATACACAAACATAAATATAGAAGTATAGATTTAAAATACAAATATATCACTAGATAAATATATAAACATATGAACATATTAATTAAACATAGATGAATATATAAATTAGTATATATATATGTAGATATATGAATATACATATATATATATATATTATGCATATGAAGATGCAAATTAAAACATCAATGCAAAAAAACTTGTTTTCTCACCAAAATATAATCTAAGAGATATCATGCCATATACACAAGGTTTTCTCCTTCAAACATAAATGCTGATGGAAGATAGGCTCTTTCCAAATACAAGCATTTTACCAAAAACATTCCCGAAAGGAACGCTGTAAACCAGTGTTTTGCATGTAAAATTCACGGGCTGGGGACGCTCGCCTCTCAAACAGATTGCCTCCAGATGTGGGGCCGCCCAAAATTTTCAGCACGGCTGTGGTGCCTTACCTGCATCGTCCCAGTTGCTGGGCTCCAGGACCCTTATTCGTTTGTTTGTCGACCCTGCGCTGATGACTGCAGCACCTGCGACTTCAAGGGACCTGGTGAATGCGACGTTTGAGGAGCGATACTCCGAATCTGTGGAAGTAATGGATTGAACATGGCTGGTGGTTTGCAAGTCTGTCATGCATAACCATCCGCAAGCAAATCTCACAACCAATCTAGAGATTGGTGGCATGAACCATTTCGTAGCCTCTTCCTCTTTTCGATTTTCATCTTCGCAGGGCCACCTAAGTGCTGGATTTTGATGTTGAAAACCAACACATTTCGATCTGTGTTGGAATGAGAGTGGAGCCTTGTTTTGAAACCCGGGACCTTCCCACAGGAGATTTGCAGCCCAAAGATGGCGATGCTGATCTTGAAGTCGCCAAGGGCGACTCTGATGGAATCCGAAAGCTTCATGGCATGTCAAGGATTCCCACAGTTGTGGTGCATCATGGAGGGGGTGTTTGATCAGCCATGATCAGCCCAATTTATTTTGAAAACTGCCGCAAGATCTACAATCCTGAAAATTTTTGGGAATCCCAAGTCCAACCTGTAAGCATAGTAACTGCATAGGAACACAGATTCCCTGGAATTGATTTGCCTTGGAGGTTCAGATTGTGTCTTGAGCATCTTTGGCACCACGATTGTTGGAGTTCCCCAATGCGGCTGTCATCGCCCAAAGGCAGGCGGTAGGCCCGGTAGGGGCGCCGCTTGTGCCAAAAAAATTGCTTCGCGGTTGGCATGAATTGTTTGCCCCGACCTTTGAAGCTTTGAGGGTTACGACGGTCACGATTGGCTTTCGTTTTGGCTCGACTGCACCACGATTTGCTGAATGAAGTCCCTGCCAGGCTCCCGACAAGTAGTGGCTTCGTTCCTGCAGCATTTCAAAAGCACATGCAGGGATATTTCCAATTCTGCACCGAACACGGAAAGACCGGCTTTCAACGGCAGACACTTTGGATTGCTTCTCGACATTTTCACACATTCAGCGATGGAGCCGAACTTCAACTGATTCGAGCGGCTGTTTGCAGGCAGAGTCGGTAGTATCAGTTGAACATTCTACTCGTAGCTTCATTCATGTGGGAACCCCCTAACAAGCCTACCCTTTGGGGATGGTTTATAGCACCCATTATGGTGATTTTGGGGATGTGACCATGCGACAGCGAGCTCGCATCTTGGTCGCAGTCGACTCGCCTCGCCTTTTGGCTCATTTTGATGTGGCACAATGATTAGGAGACTAGCCCTAAGATTTGCAGACTAAAGGAGTACGAATGAACTGCTTGACTGTTTGACCAACAACTTTTCTTATCCAATACTACAAGCTGATCATCCAATTGGCAGATCCTACCACGGAAAGGCAGCTCAAGTCATCCCAGGATTGCAGTATCTATTTGACCATCTCAGAGGGACCAGCTGATCATGCTCTAACGCGTAGCACTGCAGATGTGGAGCTCATGGCGACATGTTGGCGACTGAGAAGAAACCTGGTGGACTGTTGCTGGAGGCGACATCTCGACATCTTTCAGTAGGAATCCAGCACTGAATAGCACTGATGTTGCAACATTTGGTAAGTTGCATCCCCATTTCTATAGCTTCTATAGCTCAAGGATGCTTAAGTCTATTATACGTACGTATATATATATATATGTATATATGATTCCGTCTTCCAAGGTATTTGCTAGGTTTTTGCAGCGATTCTGACTACCAGCCTGCCATTTACTAGGTACATGCTACCCTTTAGACGACCTACGTAGCACGCATACTCCCTCAAAGTACCTACCTGCTACCTATAGTCATATATACATGTGCTATGTAGCTACTTCCTATATATATATATATATATTTATTTACATGTTATAGATACATACATTAATATATGTATATATATATATATTCTCATATTCGTATTTAAATATATATACATATATGTATATACACAAATATACACATATTCACATATATATATATATGTACACCCATATATATATATATATATGTACACCCATATATATATATGTGCACATACATACATATATATATATACATATAGGCATATACATATATATATATATATATACACATACATGTTTACATACATACATGTTTACATACATACATGTTTACATACATACATGTTTACATACATACATGTTTGCATACATACATGTTTACATACATACATGTTTACATACAGACATGTTTACATACATACATGTTTACATACATACATACATACATACATACATACATACATACATACATACATACATACATACATACATACATACATACATACATACATACATACATACATACATACATACATACATACATACATACATACATACATACATACATACATACATACATACATACATACATACATACATACATACATACATACATACATACATACACACACACATATATATATATACGCAGTACCACACCCCCACCACACCACAGGGGGGGCGGGGAACATAGCTCCTGTATATCCATACCCATTCCTACTACTCATTACTGCTAACTACTACTAAACCCCCTCACCCCCTACCCACCCACAGGGGGGACGGGGAACATAGCTCCCTACTACTACTACTACTACTACTACTACTACTACTGGTACTACTACTACTACTACTACTACTACTACTACTACTACTACTACTACTACTACTACTACTACTACTACTACTACTACTACTACTACTACTAACCCCCCCACCCACCCACAGGGGGGGGTGGGGAACATAGCTCCTGTATACCCATACCCATTGGGGGGGAGGGGGGGGACCTGGGAGGCTGCATCATATATACATATATAGGCCTCAGCTGAAACTTGTCCCAAACTTGTCCCTATTTTCCTTGGGATCATGGGAGAGGCTTTGCGATGGTCACTGCTGCACTGAGCTGCGTGCATCTGTGGATTTCAAGTGCCATTTCTTGGATCCATGGGTCTCTCGCAGGACACAGGGAGAAAGTTGATAGTTTCGAAGTGTTAACCGGTTTTGCTATCAGCATGGAAAGATAAGAGCGTGTTTTCAGCATTGTCTTTGGAGTGGTGTGTTGGAAATCCCAGAAACGTTGCTGAAACTGAAAGCAGCTGGGTGCTTGGTGAACTAAGCGCCGGCCTTGCCCGCAAGGACAGTGACAGTGCTAGTTGCAGTCGAGGTGATTTGCTGTTTGTTGCTCTGCTCCACATTTTTTTGGCATGCGCCGTTGGCACAGCTGGGGATGCCTGAAGGCAGCAACTTGGCAGCCAGCGTGGCTGGAACAAGCTTTTCCCGTCAAAGTTGAAGCATGAGTGGAAAGGGATAGAAATGATTGATTCTCGGATGGACGCTAAGTAGACCATGACTTTACAAGGTTGTCTCGGCGCAGATCAGCAGATGATGCCATGGAACGCAGGAACTTTGTTGCTGTTTCCTGTGTGGCTTCCAATCTCAGTGGTTGTCGAGTTTCTTTTCCGTGGACACATGAAGGATGAGATGATAGAAGATGATAGAAGGTGATCGATGGATGTGTGCTGACTGTGTGCTGACCGTGTGCTGAGGTGGTTGGACATTCATCATCTTGATCTTAAGCCTTCGCATTTTCTCTGGGCTGTTTGGCATATGGGGAGCCTGCCGGCGGAGGGTGAAACCGGTACGACGTCACTTGGCGGAAGGACTCGCGGAAGGAGTGTCCGTCAGAGGAAATTTGGGTCTCGGCACTAAAGCTGCCAGACTTTTTTTGAGACTTGAGTCAAGTTCAAGTTGAAAGTTGTTCTCAAGTGAGTTGAAAGCCAGGCCACTACTATTTTATCGTGGTGAACTTGCTGCTCAGTCTGGTGATCTATCGACCTTTGCTGCTGTGCGACTGCTTTTGCTTCGAACCCTCCATGGATTTGGTCATGAGCCTCGAACATGGGGAGACTCCCCACGTTTTCCGTAGAAAAAAGTCGGTAGGTAGGTTCACCTTTGGAGCCTCACTCGGGGTTGGGGGATATTCCGGATATTCCCACGCATCAACTTGAACATCTCAAGTTAGGGACCACCGTTCCGCAAGGAATCCTCGATCCTCCGTGCGAGAGGCTCAGCAATGCGATGTTTGGACTTCGTTTGAGGCCCGGGTCCACCTGGCCGAATCATCGCTCGGATGGCTTGAGATTTGATGGTTCAACCAACATGTGATCAACGATAGAAACCAAGCGAATCATGTATGTTTAATGGCTTCGAATGGACAATCAACCCATAATGGATTTGGTTTATCCCCATACTTGAGGATTTGATACTGAAATGCCCAAATGTCTTTGGTTCCACGATAAGGTCTGGTTCCACATTCCAAGCCGGGTCAGCTTTCCGGGCCGCGATTGGCTCAGGACGTCTCCTCCTCGCGGCGTCTGGCTGTGAAAGGAGACGAATGGCCAAATTGCGGCCAAAGGCTCAGAGATTTAGCCTCTGGTGATGGAGGGTATGCATTCTTTTCGATATCTTTCCGTATCTTTCCAAATATCTTTCCAAATTTGAAATTGAATTGTGACTGAAAGCCTGAGAACTTGCAAAGGTTGAACACGATAAAATTGCAAATGGATACTTGTACACGTGTACTCCCTACTTTCTTGCATGTGTTTTTCATTCTCCCAACAAATCCAATCTCCATTTTTTCCCGAGAGCGTCGGAGCGCAGGGTTCTTCCAATAGTGGGGGTCTGTAAAACATCTTCTCATCTTCACATCTTCTCATCTTCATATCTTCACATCTTCACATACTCACATCTTCACATCTTCTCATCCTCACATCCTCACATTTTCACATCTTCTCATCCTCACATCCTCACATCTTCACATCCTCACATCTTCACATCTTCTCATCTTCGCATCTGCTCATCTTCACATCTTCACATTTTCACGTCTTCTCATCCTCATATCCTCACATCTTCGCATCCTCACATCTTCACATCTTCTCATCTTTGCATCTGCTCATCTTCACATCTTCACATCTTCACATCTTCTCATCTTCACATCTTCTCATCTTCGCATCTTCTCATCTTCACATACTCACATCTTCAACATCTTCGCATCCTCACATCTTCACATCTTCTTATCTTCGCATCTGCTCATCTTCACATCTTCACATCTTCTCATCTTCACATCCTCGCATCTTCACATCTTCTCATCTTCACATACTCACATCTTCACATCTTCTCATCCTCAGATCCTCACATCTTCGCATCTTCTCATCCTCACATCCTCACATCTTCACATCCTCACATCTTCACATCTTCTCATCTTCACATCTTCACATTCTCTCTTGCCCTCTTGTTCTCTTGCCCTCTTGCGCTCTTGCCCTCTTGCTCTCTCCTTCTTTTCTATTTCTCTCTTGAAGGCGCAGGGCAGTGCCAACGAGACCGCACGAAACGGAACCCTTTCGCACGAAATGAGGTTCGATCGCCAAAAACTGGGGTAAAATTGCGATTTCGTGTTTCCGGAGCAACCCTTTCGCACGAAATGAGGTTCGATCGCCAAAAACTGGGGTAAAATTGCGATTTCGTGTTTCCGGCGCAACCCTTTCGCACGAAATGAGGTTCGATCGCCAAAAACTGGGGTAAAATTGCGATTTCAGGGTCCGGTCTCTGTGTGTGAAAGTGTTTGTGCGTAAAAGTGTCTGTGTGTAAAAGCGTCTGTGTGTAAAAGCTTCTGTGTGTAAACGCTTCTGTGTGTGAAAGCGTCTGTGTGTAAAAGTCTCTGTGTGTAAAAGTGTCTGTGTGTAAAAGTGTCTGGGTGTAAAAGCGTTTGTGTGTAAAAGTGTTTGTGTAAAAGTGTCTGTGTGTAAAAGCGTCTGTGTGTAAAAGCTTTTGTGTGTAAACGCTTCTTTGTGTAAAAGCGTCTGTGTGTAAAAGCGTCTGTGTGTAAAAGTCTCTGTGTGTAAAAGCATCTGTGTGTAAAAGTCTCTGCGTGTGTAAAGGCGTCTGTGTGTAAAAGCCTATGTGTGTAAAGGTGTCTGTGCGTAAAAGCTTCTGTGTGTAAACGCTTCTTTGTGTAAAAGCGTCTGTGTGTAAAAGCGCCTGTGTGTAAAAGTCTCTGTGTGTAAAAGCGTCTGTGTGTAAAAGCGTGTGTGTGTAAAAACCTATGTGTGTAAAAGTGTCTGTGCGTAAAAGCTTCCGTGTGTAAAAGTGTCTGTATGTAAAACCTTGTGTGTGTAAAAGCGTCTGTGTGTAAAAGCGTCTGTGTGTAAAAGCGTCTATGTGTAAAAGTGTCTGTGTGTAAAAGCTTCTGTGTGTAAAAGCTTCTCTGTGTAAAAGCGTCTGTGTATAAAAGTGTCTGTGTGTAAAAGCTTCTGTGTGTAAAAGCGTCTGTGTGTAAAAGCGTCTGTGTGTAAAAGTCTCTGTGTGCAAAAGCTTCTGTGTGTAAAAGCTTCTGTGTGCAAAAGCGTCTGTGTGTAAAAGGTTCTGTGTGTGAAAAACTATACGAAGGATACGATGCAAACTAGTGTCTTGTACTTGTAATATTTTGTCTTGATACTACTCTCCTCGTCTGCCTATACATCTTTAATATATTGTCTTGTAATATAGTGTCTCAGTACTAACAACAGAAGACCCTGCTCCTCTACGCTCTCGGGCCATCCGTCGGCTAGTTCAGAACTCCACTTGTCACCCCCCCATGAGTCCCTGGTCTCGCAGTGAGCTGCTGGTGGTGCCGGACCTCTTCAAAGTGTCCAATGTCTTGCTGAGCGGCCGGAAGAGTTGTGTGGAACTGCCCTTGACCCAGACCTGGGCCACAGTGCTGTTGGAGATGGACTGCTGATATCCATTGGGGTTTGAGTTGCCATGGTCGGTGTAGCCCCGTAGCCTACAATGGGAGATGACCTGAGGAGTGATACGATAGTCACGATAGCCGAAGAGGTAAGACTCGTACAGTTTCTCCTGACCAAACATTTAGCAACCAATCCGGTCTCGAGTTCCTTCCCGCTGGATTGTTGTGGAGTTGCATCAATCCAACACATGACGTTCTGTTTTTTCTCCATGTTTTTGCTCATATTTTGGGGCTAGGATTCCCGAACCATTTCACATCTCACGAAGCCTTCTGCCACGATTCGCTGCGGAGGACAAGGGCAATGTGAGCGATTGGGATTGGTCCAAGTTGCACCTGCAGGATTTTCATAGTGCGCTAACGACCTGCTTCAAGTTGCGCAGATGTGGAGCCGTCTATCTGGAAGTCAGCCAGAAGACCACAAGACCAGCAAGTCCAACGCAGTCTGGATCTTCATATTGTACCCTGGCAGTGTAGTATTTGGTGAAGCACATCTATGGTACGCTTAGTTTACGCTCTCTCAGCTGCCTTTCGCCAGATCCAATAGAAAAACGATAGTGAACCAGTAACCAACATGGAATCATTTGCAGTGCAGGTGGCAACATCAACATCTGCAACTTGAATCACCCCGTGCTGCCGGACCAAAGCAGCTCGGTGCCGGCCGCCCCTGTAGATGAGCAGGGCTGCCTATCGCAGGGATGGAGATTGTCCCTTGTTCCCCTGTGGCAGGCTTTCGGAAGACATTTTTTCGAGTAGTTTAAGTTGCTTAGTAATTTGGTAATTCCTCCCATGAACATGCCTAATACAGAATGCATTCTGTTTGAGTGGTGGTTTGTCATTTGTTCAGGGGTACCCTTGGATGAGCCCAGGAGCTTGTTGAAAGACATGGAGAAGTACGAATGCTTCCGCTTCCGCATCGGTGCTGTGAACGGTCCGGCCACCGAGTTGTGCCGTTTGGTGGTGCGCGGATCAATGCTGCTGCTGCTGTTGGCCAATGTGGTAGCGATACCTGCTGCCATTGTACCTCAAAGAATGGGGTTTGGGGCTTGGGTTGGGGTCACCCACTGGGTCCCCGCAAAGCCGAATATGATGAGCAATGGCTTAGCCGATTGGAGCATGGGGGGATGGTTTTTGGGGTCCACAATTCAGCCGCGATTGACTCGTCTGATTTGTGGGTGGCAGCTCCGAGGTAATCCGCAAGTTTTTGGAAAACAACTGTGGAGACTTCATTGACACGGAGGCCCGGCTGCGCAGTGCGGACATGCAACTAGGATGCTACTTTGTGCTCATATGGAACCAAACCTTGCTGGTCTTGACCAGCAGTTTGACCCGTCAGGAGCAGTTTGATGTAGACTGCTACACAGATTCACGTTTCTCCATTGCTGATTCCTTTGTGGCGGGTGCCTGCGATGCCACCTACTTCAGAGGAGCAAAGGATCCCTTCAAGCCCAGATCTCTCAATACAGCTGGAAGCTCTGTGGAGTTGTCCTCTCCACGGGTGCCAAGTAACTGGGCCAACCAGGTGCCGATGTCGAAAACTGGGTCTATGAAATAAGAGGAACAATGATGATAGCCATTGGGATCTTTCGGGTTTCCAAACTTTTCAGACAAACCCATATATGCGGCTGTTTATTTATAGTGATTCGCGATTGATTCATGCCACCGCATTCTTTTTTGAGAATGAAGCTGAATGAATTGTACTCGTTTTCAGTGCCAAAAAGAATCCAAAAGCAGGATCAAACAAGATTTCTTGAGAGAAGCCGTGAAACATGACACCCTGGCATACCCTGGCTTGATTTTCGTCCAGGATGGAAGTGCTGGGATTTGACCGCGATCCGATCCCTGCGACGGCGGCAGTTCCGTGGCCGGCACCTCCAAGGTCCTCGTGGAGACGACCCCGTGGAGGCGCATGGCATGCGCCGGCAGAGCGGCGGAGCGGAGCGGCGGAGCCCAACGAAGTGCCAACGCCTTGAAACTTGGCAACGCAGTCGGAAGTCCTGAAAGCTCTGAACAATTCTGACTTGGCACTGGGCTTGAGTGAAAAGGTGCTTGAGATTTTGCTCGCAAGTTTCAATCTGGTTTGACGTGCTTCATTGCCCATGTTCCGACAGAGCCAAGCATGCTCTTGGACTCTCAGACTTGAGCATGTCCATCTCTCTCCAGCAAATCCGGTCGGGTTGCTGTGACCAAATCATGTGCCTCATTCACATCTTGAAACATCTTCGAACTTCTGGCAAGACGAGTGTGAACAAAACCAGCTTCATCCGCCCATCCATGTGCAGGCACTGCACCAGACCCAACTTCCTACGCACGTGCAGGGGGGCCATGCTGGTTAAAGAACATCTAGTTGATTCAAACAGATCATGGTAACAATCTCCCAAAGTTGGTTTCAGCTGGCAACGGTACAGACATTCCTTCTGTTTTACATCAGCAATTGGCATTAGTCTAGAGCAAGTTGGTTTAAGTTTGATCACGATCTTTTTGGCAATCACCGCCCAGTGTTTCGCCTCAAGACTCTCAAACATCGTAAGCATCTCCGAATAATCGTCCTTGCTCGCCCCGAAACGCGCCATGATTTTGACAGGACAGCCACTTCTGGGGTGATCTGAACATTTGCAACAAACAGTCCCTTAGAATCAGTTGCAAACAGAAAGTAGGGAGACCTCTGTGGCTTTTCCGTCCATGCCGGTTCTTGACCTTGGAGACAGGACCCAACCAAACATCGCCCCAGTGCTGCAGATAGCCAGGACTTCTGGATTATCTGATGACTCCACAGCTTCAATGTTTGCAAAGCTTTCAAGAAGAGAAGGAGGATGAGTTCCAGGCGCAGCCCTGCGCCGCTTGTAGAACTTGTTCGCCCAGCAGCCAGCTGCAGCTTGTCTCCTTCGCAGGTTGAGGAGGAGGATTCCCAGGAAGCGAAACCAGTGGCGACTGGGGAATGGGTGGACCCTGAACCGAGGCAGGGCAATCTTCATAGGCTGTTGTGAAAAAACATGACTTCCAGTGAAGATTATCAGTTTGTCGCGTGGAAGTATTCATAGTTGTGGACGTCAATTTAGAGGACGATGCCTAGCTTGTGATTGTGGAGCTTTTTCTGGCGACCTACTTGACCCTGATAATAATCGCAATCATCAGAATAGCGATCATATGAAAGATATATAGTTTATAGAATGTCTATATATAGTACTATATTGACATATTATCCTCTCTCTCTCTCTCTGCACTGTATGTATGTTCCTCCGCCCCCGGGGATAAAGATGATGCATTAATCCCTTTTGCTCCGCAGCCTCGGTTCAAGCTTAGACTGAATGGGAGACCAGGGTCTCCGGTGCCTGACCTGTTACGGCAAGTTAGGCCCGGTGATTGCTGATCTCCGGTGTGAGCTGTGTGGGCTCCTTTTCTGGATCCAGGACTTGGTGGTGTCCAGCCGCTTCCCCATCAACGGTGCCAGGTTTGTCTGCCCGGAGTTGAGGGGAGCCTACTATAAGATCTATAAGGCCAAGGCCTTGGAAGTGGCCGACTCGCTCCACCGAGCCATTCAGGGAGGACCGGGGCCTCTGAGAACAGAGGATAAAGGAAAGCCTTTGGTGGTCGAACCAAAGGCAAAGCCACCGGTGAAAGCAGAGGAGCCCGCAACAGCTGCCGCGCCGACACCTAAGCAGGAAGAGAGCCCAAAGATAAGACAAACGCCCACAAGGAGGAAGAAGAAGCAGAGCCCAGTAGAAAAGAAAAGAAGAGAAGAGAGCGAGAGGAGGAACCAAGAGGAGAGCCCAGTAGTTCAGCAAGAGGACATTCAAAGAAACGAAGTCGAACTAGGAGATCAAAGGACAACAGAGAAGCCCTGAAGAGACGTAAACCGGGACCAAGGGCAAAGGGGAGTCAAACCGCAAAAAAGGCGGGCAAGCAAAAGAAGACAGGGACAAGGACAAGAAGTAGAACTGAGGCGGTACAGGGAGCAGGGAAGCTCCGAGAACTATGAATCCACTACAGCTGGCAAAGGCGTGGACTGCCGTTTCAGGCCGGCCTGTGGTCTTCCTTAATTGCCGGGCCTTTTTCCTGAGAGTGGAGAGTTGGGGCCGACCGGACCCGAGGACTCACTAGAATTTTTGCAGACCAAAGGAAAGACTTTTGGAACCATGGCCACTTTTTTGTTTTCTATGTTTTCACGACTTGAGGTTGAGTGTGGTTTATCTCGCAGCAAGGTCCAGTTCTCAGGTGGGATTTTCCTCTTACCTGATTGCCCGCGTGCAATACAAAACATTCTAGGCCACATCCCAGAAGGCCAGCTTCATGTTTTCTGCGGCATGTGCAAAGCGCTGAACTCTTACAACGGTTGTCCATGGACCGACAAAGGTCTGTCAAGCGCGCCGGCCAAGCGTGCCTTAGTTGGCTTAGCGGCGAACGCCCGAGATAGTGAGCTTGCCTTGGAAAAATTTGAGGGTGTGACTTGGGAGAGTTTTGGTTCAGTTCGGACGGTGATGAGATTAAAGTTGCATTTCTTTTGGGCCAATGTGGAACCTGCGTTGCCGGAAGGCATAGGTTCCATTCCGTTGTTGCAGGTGTGTGAGAGAGGCACTCTGGACTATGTGATGAACTTTGAAAATTACTTGTTTCCTGAAGATTCTAGAGTTCATACCAAGCCCCTAAAAGTATTTGTGCACGATGCTGATTGGTAGCAGGTGTGCTCCGGACTGATTGGCAAGGGGGTTTGTCGGATAATTCCACAGTCTGAAGTTTTTCATTTGAAGGGCTTGCCAGTTCTCAATGGAATGTTCGGAGTGTCAAAAGATGAATTTGTGAATGGAGTGGAGGTTCAGCGGTTAATAATGAACCCAGTGCCATTGAACAAGTTGTGCCGAAACCTGGGAGCGGACGTGTGCACCCTACCGTCCATAGTAGGCCTTGTGGGAGTGGTCTTGGGACCGGAAGAGTTCCTCGTGATGAGCTCCGCGGTTCCCTCCGCACTGGTTCCGGGTAACCAGTCTGAACCCCATTACCTTTCCTCATTGGTTTTACCACAATGGTGTTCATCAACTCCGTTTCTATTGCACAACACGTGCATATAGGAGCATGGCCTGACACCCCAACATGGCCCCCAGAGTGAGATGAGGCGGGACAAGCCTGGGTCACGAGCGGCATGGCTTTACTGGATCTATTTGGACAATTATGATTCCTTGCAAAAGATGGACGCCCTAACGGCGGCTCGGGTAGAAGGGCAACCTTCCCTTGGAAGCCCTAGCCATGTGCGAAGAATATCAATTCTGGGGTCTTCCCCGTTATCCAAATAAATCTGTCCAACAGGAGGTGATCGCTGAAATACAAGGCGCGTTGGTAGATGGGAGGACTGGCAAGGTCCGACCCAAACCGGTGAAGATCATGAAGTACGTGCGCCATTTTCAGGCGACCCATGTTGGGGATGCTCAATGCAGTGTGGAAGTTTATCATGGAGTTCTGCAATGACCCGCCGGTCATCAAACCACCATTGCCGAAGGTGGTGCGATTGGAGTTGGTGCGCTTCATGTGTGCGGTCCCGCTGGCTCAGATGAACCTACGGGCGCTTATCCGGGGAGACGTCACGGCAAGTGATACCTCCGAGTATGGTGGTTGCTTTTGCAATGCCGGGGGTCGGGTTCTTCGACGGGATTGGGGCCCTTAGGGTGAGCGCTGATGCTCTTGAGCTACCCGTGGGAGGCCATGTGAGCGCGGAGGTCTGGTGCGGGGAGCCGAGTGCTGGAAAGCCATTTCCCTGATGCTGAGGAGGTGGGGAGCGTCGAGAACATCACGGAGGAGATGGTGCAGAATACAGCAACGTCGGAGTGGTCCTTGTGGGAGGGGGCCCTCCGTGCCAAGGAGTTTCTGGCCGGGCAGGAAAGGAGCATTGAAGGATGTCAGGAGTAACCTTTTTGTTCATGTGAGACGGGTGTTCAGGTTGGTGAAACAAAAGTTCCCTTGGGCGCAGCTCCATGCCCTCGTGGAATCTGTCGCGTCCATGGACGCTAAGGATAGGGCCATCATGCGTGAACATATGGGGTCCTGTCCTTATCGCATAGATGCCGACGGAATTTCCTTGTGCCGGAGACCGCGACTACATTGGATCACAAGGGAGCTGCAGCAGGCTCCGGGTGTGGTGACTGGACCACGGTTGGGAAGCCTAAACTCAATTCATCTTGTTCAACCAGTGGACCCTGACCAATACCTTCATGCAGGATGGCATTTGGGAAGTGCAAACAAGTTGCCAACATTCACCACATCCAGAAGCAGGAGCGCTCCCGGGAACCGGCCTGCCGGCCCCTGGCAATGTGAAACTTGGAAGGCGGAACGGTGGAAGAATGACTCACATGTTTCCCTCCGTACATCTATCGGGATCAGCACTGGCCTGATGGAACCAGGAGAAGGAGGTTGTCATGGGGTTTCCTCTGGATTACGAGGTAGCTTGTTTGTGTAAGGGACAGCAGAGCGGAGATGCCTACCTGGATCTCCACCATAACCTGATTGGCAACTCTGGGGGTCATCGCTTGGATCCTCAAGGAGCTTTTCCATCCACTGGGACTGACAATGGTTAGTTCTCTGGGAGAGGTGATTCAAGTCACATCTCCGGGGTGAGGGGACCCGCTGTTGCAAGGGTATCTCCGACGGCCTGGGATCAAGAAAGCCAAGCGGACTGAGGTCTTGGTGCCAGAGGGGCAGCTGACCCGAAAGCTTGTGATTTTTGTCTCCTTTTGCAAGCTGATTCGGAGAACCAAGTGAAATTTCATCGGCTGCGGGTATGGAAATGGAGAACGGTGCGTGATTGGCCGTGGAAGATCAAGGGTTACCACATGAACGTACTGGAGGTTCAAGCCGTCCATACGTGTCTGCAATGGCGGTTTGCAGGAAACGCCAGATGCAGTGTAGGTTCTTGCACTTAACTGACTCACTAGTGGCTCTGCATGCCCTCAGTCGGGGAAGGTCCAGTAGCTGAAAGCTACGCTCAGTCCTGTCGAAGATTAATACACTCCTCCTCGCAGGGGACGTTCACCCCGTGTGGGGCTACGTCTCCACGAAGCAGAATCCAGCAGACCGGCCATGAAGGCGGCCGGTCCTTAAGAGATGCCTAAAAGAAAGGTCCATTTAGAGGGCCGAACGCGAGAGGAGCGCATTCAGAAAAGACAGAGACCAGGGAGCCTACACTCACTGACAGTTCAACCTGCTACCAAGAAACGCTATGACACAGCCCTTGACAAGTTCTTTGATTTCCTTAAGTTTGAGAATTTGGAATTGCCCAAGAATTTGGAATTGCCCAAGCAAAAGATCAAACTCGATGGTCTAGTAGCCGACTATATCGAACATTTGTGGTCTTCAGGTGAAGGGAGGGCTTTAGCCTCCGATACAGTCGCAGGACTGCAAAACCTGGATCCCCATTTGAAAAATAGTTTGGTTACTGCGTGGCGCCTACTCAAAGTGTAGAGTCAGAACGAGCTGCCCAACCATGCAAAACCCCTGCATGAAACCGTGGTTCATGCCATTGTCGGTAGAGCTCTTTTGAAAGATGACTCGGAATTCGCTTTGTCTATCCTTCTAGGATTTTATGGAATGATGCGTGCTGGAGAACTTCTCTGTACGGCCTAGAGATGTTGCGGTCTCTGAACCTACTGGTCCAGCAGTGTTGTCACTAGGGTTGACCAAAAGTGGCAAGAGACAGGGTGCTGCTGAAAGCATCACCGTTTCCGTTTTTGATGTAGTACGCTGTTTGTATCAATGGAAGAATTTGTCTCATAAGGCACTAGTTCAGTCATCTAGTCAATGGCGCACCAAATTTTCAGAGACTTTTGGCTTCAGACCATATAGTTTGAGAAGGGGTGGTGCGACTCTCTGGTTTACCAAACACGGATCCTTTGACCGACTGTTGAATCAGGGCAGGTGGAATGCCCCTAAGACTGCAAGAATTTATATCAATTCTGGCCTGGCAACTTTAGCAGAGATGAAAATCCCTCAGCACCCCTTGCGAGGCTTCATTAGTGTATACCGCAAATCCCTCGAGAAAGGCTTACCGAGCCTTGAGCGTACTCACAAAGTGGGCGGTTCGGGGGGACGTGGAAAGGGACATAAGAAGGTGGTCAAAAGTAAACTTGTGTTTTTCCCTCGGGCAGGGGCCCTGGAGCAAAGCTACTTACCGGCTTGGCGGTATGCAGCCAGGGAGGTGCCAGGCTTGTATCTTCCCTGGTATGGCAGGGAAATACAAGAGGGTTTTGGAAAGAATCAATTTTAAGGGAGCAAGTGTCATTTCTATCGTTCGTGTTGTTTTAAATTCGACAACACAGATCTTGCTGCGCTGTGAAAAGGATTTTGCAGAATCTTTTTTTTTAAAATAAATAAATAAATATATATATATATATAATTAATAATCTTAATACATGGGTGGGGTTCGATTCCCCCCTGGTCCGTCTAGTGACGTGCATTGGGGGCACGGAAAAACGTGCATTGGTGGAGGGGGAAATGAAGCAAGAATGGAGTCTCACATGGTCCACTATTGCAGCATCGGCTTTGCAGCTGCTTTGCAAACTATTGCTGTCTCGAACCATCGCTCCTTTTTTGTTCATAAGTATTTTGTAGCCCAACTGCATGCATGGCTTCAATGCTTGCGGTCGCCAGAACGGGTGTCTGATCCGAAAGCTTTGCAATCACATGTGTATAGCCATGTGTAGCCCACAGTTTTGCAGTATTGCGGCTTGCAACCAGACAGCATTTGATATCCACTGGACGGGATTGGATGTATTCCACCAGTTTACAACATAGTATCATATCATATCGTGTATAGATTACATATATATATACATATATGTATATGTATGCATCTATGTATATATGCCTACAAGATGTCAATATATTTTGGGGGGCACTAGATTTTGATCCCGACAAACATACCGAAATGAAGTTGTTATTGTGATTCTCATAAATAATTTTGTTGTCATCCTGTAGTGGATCATGTTTAATTTCTCGGAGGTTATGCATACCCAAAAGTGACCTCCACCTCCTCTTTTCGGGCAACTCATTACGCTTTTTGTCGGTCTTGAACGATGCTAAGAATTCTAAACACTTTATAAAAAGCGTTGAGAATTGATTTGCGGTCTTGTAGAGCCCAGCATGCGCGTTCGTTGGTCTCTATTCAGGCATTTCACATTCCTTCCCTTTCCCCACGGATTCCAAAACGGCACTCAATATAGCCTCGCACTGCCGCCTCCTCCACCAACCCCCGCCGAAATCCCTCCCATCCTCTCCACTCTCGTCTCCCCGTTCCAACTAGTTCCTGGCTTTCGTCCCCTCTTCTCAGGTAATATATATATATATTTAATAATCTTAATACATGGTAAAAATCCTCATCATCCTTCATTTGAAATCATCGGCGCGGCCGCGTCTCACCACAGGCTCTCTAGCAAGGCTCAGGCCGTTGCGCCCGAACTGCTGCAACGACTTGGGCTGAATCCCCTCGTGGATGCCTGCGCTTGATCTACAGTTGTGGTATATTAAAACCGCTATGTGTTGGTAAAAGATCGTAAAACACCAAACATGTTTCTGACACATTTACATTCTTTTCAAAAACTTACCATTTTTTGGGTTTCCAATATTTTTGGTGTAAAAATCATGGGGATATAAAACCGACAATATGATAATTGGGTTTGTCCCGAAATGTACCCCAACGTATGGCCATTTAAATGGAAAAATCATACTGGAGTACCACATTTTTGGGCAAACCAAATATATAGTGGTTCTGTTTATGGGGTAAACAATTGGGTAAAGGGAGTATGGATCCGATACTAATCAGGTGTAGCAGTTTACCACGCTATCTGGTGATATCTTTGGTTTTCTCTGAATTGGGGACTCCCAAAGGATGGTGTTTCAACTTTAGGACCCCCCCATAGACGTATTCCACATGGGTAGATATGGGTGAGGCTAGGAAACCATCATGATCCTCTGACAAACAGACTGGTGATGTTGAAAGTCTTCTTCCTGCATCCTGCAAACATGGAGGTTTCCTAACTCATGGGGGTAGCACCAAATCATCCAGTCGTCATGGATGACCATGACTTAGGTTATGAGACCTATTGTGATTTGGGGATTTTTAATGAGTTAAAAAAACCACATCTTGATGATCTCAGGAACTGAACATTGAGACATCCACGCAACTGCTGAAAGATCTTTGTTTGGAGCGACTTGGCTGCAGTGCCACAGCAAAGCTTCATGATCGAAACCAGTTGAAATTGATAAAGTTGCTGATTCCTGTGATTCACATATATTCCCATGAACTTGTGACGAATTGAACCAAGGTTTGAACTCACTCTGCTTGAAGTTGAACCTTTGCTTCTACCTACTTGGAAAGCGGAGAAGAGCTTCCCTTCAAGGGACCGGTGCAACCATGGGATGCCGCAAGAGGTTTCATTATGTGGGGATGGGCCAAGTTTAGTGGTTTGATGATGTTTTGTTTTGTATCAACTGTATCAACTGTATCAACTATCAACCCATCCTCTGCTTTGGGGTTGCCTAGTCTTGAAGCCTGATTTCTTTATGATCCCAGTGGCTCCTATTGAATCAAAAAATCAGGTTTTTCTGTCGGATCATTTTAGTGAATGGAAACGCCATCATCCAACATCCTCCGCATGGAAGGAGATTCTTTTTGATTCCATGAACTTGGAATCCTGCTTTCAGCAGTGGCCATCAGCTCCTTGGCTGCAGACCTGCATAGGACTCCAGTTTCGTTTTTTTTTTTTTTATGTCATTTTGCTGACTTGCCTGAGAACGGGGAGAACTTTGAGATGACCATGAGCAACCAAAACATGGAGTTCTTTTTTGGTGACTTGGACATACAGTGTCACAGCTTGAACCAGCACGCAAGGCCGCCATGGTTCGATTAGGGTCGGATGGTACTGAAAAAAATCGCGTTATTTTTGTCAGCCATGATGCAGCCCAGGCGAATTTGGAAAGACATCTTCCTACGAAAGTGAGAAGCCCTTGTTTTGGCCGCAGCCTTGACACCATGAAAACCAGCTAACCGACCTTGACCGACCCACGGATCGTGATGGATCGTGACGGATTTTTCTGAGGGACCCGATGAGTGGAACATTCCAGTCGTGTCGCTGGATGGAGCTTCTGAACGGAAGTGCAGCTTGGATTATAAAACATTTGAAGACATATGAAGACATTTAAACTGATGAACATGTGGTAAACTTGTGGTAAACCATCGCACAACCAGGACCATGATACCATGATGAGTCCGTGAGGCGCTTGCCCGACTGCTGAGCCCGGCACTCAGGGGTGACGCCTTTACCCCAGTTGGTTGATTATTTAAGGGGCTATTAAGCCTTTCTATTTTAATTGGGAATGATTAACGATCATCATCCATATCATCCATGAACTGGGAATCTGAAATACCGCCATTATTTAAGGGATTTTCCATGATTTTCCCACATTGTTTGTAATGCTGCTGCTCACATTCACAGGTTAATGATTTCATGATTCCTGACAATCCACCTGGGTGATCGGAAGAACAAACATCCTGATTTGTCCGCGGGAATATGGGGAATCATCCTGACAATAGCTCAACTTTCAGTTTGGGAATCACGTGGAATAACATATATGACACATATACTGTAAAAAAAATAATTATATAATATATTTCTATATTTATACACATGTTATCTAAGTTGGTTCCCGGCAAAGGGCCGACAGACCATATCTTCATCGCCAATTTCTCCTGCAGAGAGGCGCAGACCTCGCAGGGCTTTGTTTAGATCGTAAGATGGTGCCAGAGCGACTTCGAATTACTCAGGCAGTGGCGGGGGAAAAGGCCAAGCAATGGGGACTATATGTGGGGATTTTATCAAGAATGGTGGTAGAGTGGGGATGTTTAAATCGATGCTAAAGCCAATGATAAACCATCCTCAGCCAGAAATGGGTTGGATTTCAATCCCCAACTTGGTCGTTTGTGGCATAAACGGTTTACCACATTATGTTACATCCCAGGTATTGCAACTGTTTCATAATCATGGAATTTTGCAGATGAATCTTCTGATTATTCAGATTCAATTTTACATAGCAGGACAGTTCCTACACCACCCCCGATACCTGCCAGGTCCTTCTCGCGAGTCTTCGCCGTGTTCATTGGGCCCCAGAGTTCGAGTCTTAGTGTTTTGTTGTGTCACTGAAATGCGACTCCAGTGGAATCCACTCTTCAAGGCTTCCGATACTGGTGAAGCAAGAGATGAATCCGATCATGTTACTCTGAGGCATGCGTGGATTTTTCCTGAATGGCATCAAAAACGTATGGCTTTCATCTCCTGGATTGGCAAGGACCAGTCGAGCTGGTCCCTCACAGTTTTTCTAGCAGCAAGGCTTGAAGCAAAGGTTTACCAGTCAACAGCACATGGATTTCAAACATGATTTCAGTGCTTAAGCATGAATATACATTATGTATATATATATAATATAATATGATATATAATAATATATATATATATACATATAATATATAAATATAATATATATAATACATACATATATTCAACAGCTTCTGGCCACTCGAGAGCTTTTCAAGGAGCTTGGCTTTGGTGTTTTTCTATGGGCCGACAAAGTGGGGAGCCCAAATACTTGGCACATTGGGCGGTCTGACCCATACCTGGATGTCGCTAAGGTTGTACCCTTTTTGCCCATCGAGCCAGATCTTAGCTCCTGAGTGCTAGTGGAATTTGTGGTGCAACGGTCGGGTATAGCAGAATCTCAGTCTCGGATGGAAAGGAACAGCCAAATTCAACGTCAAAACAAGGTGTCACAATTCACGGGGGCAACTCATCAGTTTCTTGACCAGTGGGACAATCAAGATGCGCTGCACCACTGAATTCGTTTCATTTTGATGCTCTTTGAGGCATTGACAGGTCCTTGGTCTGTTGGCTGTCTTTGTTTTTGGCAGCAACTTGTATAGGCGCCACCGGTACAGATCCACATCTACCATGGATTCATTGATGATGTTCCATGCTTTGCAGCGGAGGTTTGCACGGCCAAGTCCAAGAACTGTAGAGGTTCAACCAGACACTGGCCTGGGTCATATTTTCGACCCGTTGTGTTTTTTCCCGAGCCATCACCGGCCGGCTATGTTTGATCCGATGGCTTCGTGCACAGCTGGTTTGACGAAACAGAGCACAACCAGCTGCAGATTCCACTTGGAGATACTTGGAAGGACTGTATTTGTCCTGCATCGACTGTTAAGGAACAGTCTTCCAGGTCCCTCGTCATGGCGGGGGTGAACTGACCGAATTGGAAGAATTCGTTCTGCATTTTGCTCCTTAAAGGGCCAGAATTTCTTTGAATCGATGCCTGGACGGCAGATAAAAGATAAAGCGGCGCTTCGCTCCGAGACCTGTCTTCAGATGTCTTCAGGATGGGTTGGCTGTGCCCTGAAGATCTCTGTGGGGTAGACTCCAGGTGCTCCAATGGCAAGGAATCCTCAGCAACATTTGCCTTAGGTTCAGCTATCTGGACATGTGCGCAGGTAGCAGATGTGGACACTTCAAAGCAGTGACACGTCGGAAAAATGGGTTTTCGAACGCCAAGGATTTTGAACACTCTGTGCTGTTGTGTGCCTTTTATTATGCGCCATGATGATCTTTTATTATCCATCAGTGAAATCGTTCTGCCAATCTGACATCGACCAGCGTGGTACACACTTTACATCTTGTTTTTTGGTAATAGTGAAGTTGGATGAAGTATGATGGAGTTGAACCGAAGCAATGAGGGGATTTGTCAAATGATTTCAGAATCTCCAGCAGATGCAAAACTGTTGAGCGCGGATCTGCTCTTTGTTCTGTCAGCTATGGAGCTCAAAAAAGCAGAGCCGCAGAGCATTTTCCAGACCTGTTCTGCAGTGACTGGCACGGACACGTTGCACAACCTCACCACTTAACAGTAGAAACACCGGGAACTCAACTAAGCTTTTGGATCGGAACACGTTGAGACCTAGGCTAAATGGACCATATCCTCAACCCAAACTGAGCACTCAACTAGTGTTGCTCTTTGCTCCATCGGAGGTGGATCAATCCAGTCCAGTGAGGTCCGAATTCAAGCAGATTGCCATGTGGGAGTGGCTGCAGGAATTCTTGGCTGAGCGACGAGTCAGACAGGAGCTCCGGAATCTCGTGTCGTTGGTGGGGTTCCGGAATCTTGTGCCAAAAATTCTGTCGTCTTTTTCGGAAGGTGAGAACTGTGAGATGCCTGCTGTATCAGGAGCGGCGACCTCCCAATCAGCTCCAGGTATGGAGCTAACTTTGGCCAATCAGTGGGTATCGTAGGATGATCTTGAGCAGTTCACCAACAGTCACTAAGACTAGCTGACTAGCTTAGCATATTCAACCAATCGTGTTGAAGCAGTAGCTCTCAGTTGGTCAGCTGTGGTCATTAGCTGGTCACCAAAGGGTCAGCTGCACTGGAATTACTTGCAGCAAACTGAGCTATGAGTACGTGGAAAGATGTCTAGCAGTTTACTTCACATCTGATTTTGCAGTGGGATCCAATCATATTACCCTCAAGTAATCAAACATGGCAATGTGGAAAATCCACCATTTATACATGATTTTCCCATTAAAACCTCCAGTTTATAGGGGATTTTCGAGCCCACGTTTGATGACATCGGAGGGTCCCACGGGGCCAATTGGGGCAGGTTGCACTCGGTGCGGCTGGGAGTGCGCTACTCCTGGTGCTGCTCTTGCTGGTTGGGGCTCAAGAGCGAATCGGGTTGCTGGATGCCATGGATTTCAACCATGTTTTCAACCATGACCATGTTTTCAACCATGGTTTTTACTATGTAGATTTATGTAGCAGTTGAGGTGCTGCACCGTTGCCCCATTGATCTTGATTTCTTCCTACCAAGCCCAGGTCCAGCGGCGATGGACAACCCGCGCACCTGCACCTGTGGCTTGGCTGCGTTGTTATCTCGCACTCGAATGTTGATTTTGGGGATGGTTTATTGCTGGGCTTCCCACATTAGTGATATTTGTGACCGGCTCAAAGTGTCAATGTGAGAGCAGTCTCGCTTGTTTTCCTTCATGAGTTGACAACAAAGTGCCAGCTACTGTATTCTTCCACTGCTTGCAGTATGGAAAAGGACAGTTTGGTCAAATCATCCAGGAGAAGGTTGTGTTCCGTTACTGGGATCGATAGCTGGTAGTCTCCACTACTCCAGCGCTGCCCAGTGGATTCTGAGGTGAGGATAGCTTTGTCGGCAGCCTTGAAACTTTTGCGAGAGAAGAAGGTCAAGGTGAGCTGCAAATCGTTCTGTCCAATTTGGGGAAGCTTCATGCAGCGTTGTCAGATGGTTGTTTGAAATCCAGCTTGGGAGTTTTTTTACTAGACTCCTAATGCACCTCCAATATCCAACATTGACTTTTGCCGCGCAGCCACAGTTTTTGGTGATGTAGCAGTGATTATATCAGGTAGTGAAATTTTGATCTCATCGTCTTTGGTAACTCTTGCAGTTCACCCCGTGTTTCTGAGGAGCTGATTTACAGCGACAATGGGGCCTTGACGCTCCGGACCGAGGAGACTCGGAGAGGGTATTCTAGAGCTGGCTCATGGGGATTTCAGACACCAACGATGGAGCTACCAACAAAATCAAGATATATGAGATATATCATATATAACACATGTGAAAGCAATAGCCAGACAATGGGTATTCACACCCAACAATGGACATAGGGATATTTTTTTACCCAATAATTGTTTATAACTATTTGGTTATTGGTTTTAAATAACAACATTTTGTAGCCGGGATGACAATCCCCAGATGACCAATATATTTGGGAGGCCCCAATGGATGACCATTTACGCGAGACTCAGATAGACTCAGTAGATTGCATTTGGTGGTTTTGTCCGTTTCAAGTTCTGAAGGCATCAATTTTAAGCATCCTTTGATCCAAGAACTTGTTGTCACCACAGCCTTGGCCGACTGAATGATTCTGTGGGAGTTCCAACTTCAGGCAACGAGCAGTTACGTCTCCCTGCTGGTGCCCGGAAGTGAGGCCAACTGCTTCACTGCACCATGGACATGGGGATGGGTCAAGTGACCTTTGCATTTGCCTAATATGACTGGGGGAATAACCACCCAGCTATTCTACGACTTTGGGCACCTAGGGTACCATGGTTTTGACCCATAGCCAGATATTTTTTCACTAGAACACTGACATTTTGGACTGGAAAACCTTGGAAACTGATACATTTCTTTTCGAACGGGCAAGATTTACGTTGCATGTCATTATAGCGTGGATGGTTGCGAAATCCTGCACCACCTTGGATGGTTGAAACCCTATAAATGATTGTAATAATGGGATAAACCACCTATCAACTGGTGCGGTATTTCTTCCATCCACTGTATTCTGGTCGCTTCGCGACGACAACCGCCCGCACCGGAGTGCAATAAACAACACCATATGTTCTTATGTTGGGCCTTTGTAGGGCGCGTGTTGGGAGTATGTTGGGCTGTTGGCTCGGGCACATGTTCAGCCATGGGCCCATGTTGGGCCCATGTTGTGCCTATGTTGGGCCTGTGTTGAGGCATTTTGGGCCTTTTGCCCAAGCTAAAGCTTAATAATTTAATAGCTATTGCGTGCCAAAAAACGCCTCGGCACCTTCGGTGCGGCCGGATTTCAGTCAGTTTTTGCACTGCCTGTCGTTCCAGGCGACAGTTTTTGAGGTGGCGGACCGGGCCATGGTTGCCGTGGACTACGCTGCGCCCAAGGGCAGGACTCTCTCCCAGGCCGAGATGCAAAAATGCAGTTGCTGGCGCAAGTGCACTAAGTGCCAGAGTCAGCTGTTGAGATTTTGTATTTTCTAATAGTTTGCTTGGCAGTGTGTCTTGAGGTGGAGCTCTTAATCATGCCAGGTGATGTCAATTGTTGTACCGTTGATTTTCCTCTACGTCTGGTACCAGGTTGCAAAGTGAGGAACCTCAGAAAACGAAACAAGTCTTGTGCTGGCTGCTTTCCCCCCTTTGAAGTCTTTTCTCGGCAAGCACTGCCAGCTGTTTCAGGGCAGTTTTTTGTTGGATAGATTTGACCTGCTACGCAGCCCAAGGACATTGATCACCCGCGAGAACAAGTGGACTCCCACGAGAAGTCGCCGATTGCTGGGTGCCCGGTGGTGACTTTCAACTGCCAAATGGCTTCCCATATCTGCGATGTTCTTTAAATTTGGAAATTTTCATATTTTTTTTTAAAAGTTTTTTTTGTTTTCCAGACTGGCTTTGTGGCTTCTGTGGCTTTTGCGGGTGTGTGGCTTTTGTGGCTTTTGTGGCTTTACATTGCTTTACCATGCTTTACCTATCTATTACCTAATCAATCAATCTATCTATCTATCTATCTAATCTAACCTAATCTAATCTAACCTAATCTACTCTAATCTTATCATATCTAATCTTATCATATCTAATCTTATCTAATCTTAATCTTATCTATCTAATCTATCTAATCTATCTAATCTATCTAATCTATCTAATCTATCTAATCTATCTAATCTATCTAATCTATCTAATCGATCTAATCAATCTAATCGATCTAATCGATCTAATCTAATCTTATCTTATCTGATCTGATCTAATTTGATCTAATCTAATCTTATCTTATCTGATCTGATCTAATTTGATCTAATCTAATCTGATCTAATCTAATCTAATCTAATGTAAGCTAAGCTAAGCTAAGCCTAAGCCTAAGCCTAAGCTAAGCCTAAGCCT